GTTTTTCCCTTCTCTCTCTCTCTCTCTCTCGATCTCTGTTTTTCTTGAGATCTCTCTATATCTCTCAAGGATCACCCCCCTTCTCTCTCTGTTTCTCCCATCTTCTGTGTTTTTCTTTTTTGTTTGTTTTCTTTCCGCATGCATTCTGACGTCCTAGATAACCGAGATAGTGCTAGATGGCCGAGATAGTGCTCCAAGATAGTTCTTTTTGTTCCTGTGTTTTCTCCAGTGTCCTAGATGGCTGAGATAGTGCTCTGACGTCCTAGATGGCAATTTCAGTTCTCCGGGCACTGATGTTGTAAGGTAGGTATGCAAGTGGATTCATTTGAATTCAAGTAAAGGTATATCCGAATTCGATTTGATAATGTATATCACATTGGATTCAATGATTCGATGATCTATTTTGAGATTTGATCCGATTTAATTATGCATAAATGTATAAATTTTAATAAATTATTAACAAGAAAAAGAAGCAAAAATCAAAAGAGTTTATATGAAGAAAAAATAAAGTATACAATCATTTTTAAATTATATATATATGTAATTTTATAAAAGAACATAAATAATAACCAAAGAACCATTGGATGACGACCATGTAAAAGCCTTTCCATAATGCCTTATCCAGATAATGATGGCATTGACAATCTTATACAAGACCTAAAATTTTGTGTCAGGTGGGGTTGGAGGAGACGCCTTTTTTTGATTGAAGCAAAATCACAGAAAATGACAATCATTCCAAACCCCACCATAGAAGGAATCTTTCACCTACTACACGTGGTAAAAGAAAAAATTTGGGATAAGTAGATTTCACTCTATCTCAAAATTTAAAATTACAATCCCCTCGTTGTCTATTAGTAGCCGCCTTGTAAATGGCATCATACCCGTGGATTTGGCATTGATTCACAGTTAGGATTCATCTTACCTGTACAGTGGGGCTAAGATTTTTGAGGCGAACTAAACAATAAAAACCCAAAGAACATTTAACTATGGGCAGGAGTGGGCACTGGACACCGGGAGCAGCATTTTTTCCCTTGCGTGGAAGAATATTTTTTGGCTTTCTAAATTTGATAACCAAGACTGTCAAATAAGACTATTAGTTTGCATATGCATGACACGTTAATTCATACAAATTCCTTTTGCTCAGTTTGGAAGGAGTACAAATGCAAATTTGTAGAGTGCAAAACCTTGTATTTTATATGTATTTGCAGTGAACATATTTGTATTTATACTCCTTCCAAACTGAGCCTTTGTACCAATGTATTAAATGCATTGCTGGATGAATATGTCACGCAGAGAGAGTCCTAATTGACAACCCAGCTGCCAAATATGGGGTTAGAATCTTTTAATTACCATCAGCAGGATAAGTCCAGATCCGTTCCTCACAGAACGCTTCTTGTACTAATTTCATATCACGTTTCAGTCACATATCAGAAATATCTCCCATACTTTATATTGTTATTCAAGGAGATATGTTTTCCAATATATAGTGGGATAGGGCTGTGAGATCAGTGTGAGGTGCACTCTATGCGGAGCACATCCTGATTCCAGCAATATCTATCAGTGGATTCCCAAAGAGGGTGTAAATTCAGACCTCACACCATATGCGTATCCCGAGTGATGAAGCCCTGCTCCCTCGATTCCGGATCTCCTGCCCATGCCTACCCACAATACACCACCCCCTATGAATTGGGAACATCTCCCCCTACATAATACTATACAGAGGATGAGATGTTTTTCATGTGTGATTGTGATAAACGTGGACAATAGATTCGGACTCTACGCCCTCTCTGTCCAAACTGAATCTGATCCCAACAGAAAACAGATCCAATATGATTTGTGACATGATAGGTCAAAATATTATAGTGAAATGTGCAAACATGGATCATGCTAAAGGTGTTGGGATGGTTTTTGTTGGGAGCATATCCCAATTCGCCTCTACCAATCCATGGCTCGAAGTAAATGGTCAGTCACTTATTAAAGTAGTGTTTTTGCCTCATTCCAGTGGGGTGGTCCGAAAATTGGATTCCGTATTGCAATTTGTCAATTTGCCTTTACCTATGAGTAATGACTGTGTCTATGTTTTAATGTTGAATTTTGAATGGATGGACATGCTTACACGAGTTTTTCTTTCTTTTTGGCTTTTTGTAATTCGATTAATAATCCAATTAGAAGCACACATAAGTCTCAGTTTGGAAGGAGTAGTAGAATGCAAAACCTGGTATTCTGTATTATTTTGTATATATTTATATTGTATATATTTGTATTTATATATTTTTTTAAATTGAACCTAATATATGTACAATACAAATAGATACAAAATATAAGGTTTTGCATTCTATATATTTGCATTTGTACCTTTTCCAAACTGAATTGACTACATAAGTGCAATTTTCATTTTTGGTAAATGGCACATCCCATTAGTACACTACTAATAGCCTAATAAAAGAGAATTTATATTATATATAAAGGTGGGAATGCAATAAGAAACTTTTTTTTAACTAAAATTGCACACAAAAGTATATATATATATATATATATATATATAAAATTGAACACATCTGTAGTTCTATGTTTGCACTACTATTAAAAATATAAATAACATTGTGGAACTTGCTTTTGACTAAAATACTCATTTTTAAATTTATTTTTTATTTACTTTGTAATGTTTAAATTGTAAATTGAACTACTATTGTTCCCTTTTATTTAAATCTTACATTTTTTTGATAAATAAATAAAAAAGATACACAAAAACGATAAAACATTACAAAAAAAATAGGTAAGTCTATCAATGATACTTGAAAACTTCACAACTCGATCCAATTATCATATATTTGGATGAAGTTTTTATGTAATCAGATTTCAATTTTACAATTTGCATCCGATTAATAATAAAAAATAAAATAAAAATATATATTTATAAAAATTTATAATACATTATTACTATCATTATCATCATTTAGATTTGACATGTGCAAAGCCATCTCCATGTATGGCTGTGAAATTATGTGGGTAGACTTTGACAAAATTCTTGTAGGCAAAAGATCTGGACTCCCAATGAAAAGCCATCTTAACCAATATTATCAGATTTGGACTGAATACAAAACTGGAATCCTTGTCAGGTTGTGAATCAAAAGATTTGGGAAGAAATAAAATATGATGCATTCGGTTTAATCCAACCCATTTAAATTGATACCTAATTAAATTAAATATCAATCTGAAAAAAACTATGCATTTAATACAATATTAATTACTGTCCATTAATAACGTATTTTAAAGGACTCTTGAATTCATAATTCAACGAGCAAAAAAAAAAAATCCCAATATAAAATGGGTGTTCTGGGTAGAACAAATGGGTTGATTAAAAACTGCATCTAGAGTCTTGGGAGGGGAAGACTGGATAAATACCCCTAACCTTTGGATTTTTTTTTTTTCACACAAAAAATGGCCGCCTCAAACATGAACCCACATGCTTGGCAGCCCTCAGAAGAGTAGGATAAGACGTTACTAACCCTCAATCATGAACCCACTTGTCTTTTGGTGATTTAACAGACAAAACATAGAAATTTCCTTCTTTTTATTTATAAAACATAGTAGTATTTATTATATAATGGTAACGTCTTATCCTACTCTTCTGTGCATTATTTTCTTCCTTTTGTTTTTGACAATCAACTCTATCATGTTAGACTTGGCTTATTTAGGATTCAGTAAGACTCTTCAATTTGGAAGATCAAAGTAGTGTTGCTGTGGCAGCCATAGAATTGAATCCTTTAATCACTTATTTCTAGAGTAATGGCGAGTAAAGTTTGTTTCGGCAGCCATTATAACTCTCTTGCCCTCCAAATTCTCAATCTTCCAATAAAGACTCCTAAAAGGAGAAGGGTTATGTGGGTTTCTTCGAAATTTCCTCTTAACCATCAACTGAAGTTAAATGTCAATGGTGCTATTCATGGCAACCGAGGAGTTGGTGGAGGTGGTGTCATTAGAAATGATATTGGTTCTTTTTATTTGGCTTTCTATAATTACTAGGACTCTACTTCAATTCAAGCCGAATATATGGATCTTCAATTTGAGATTATCATGGCCTCCTTAATGATTAGAACTTAAGCTCAAAGGATCAATCAAACAAAATCAGCAACACACTAGGTGAAGTCTTCTTACAAATCATAATTGGTGTGGCCATAACCTTACGCTCAGCCAGTCAGCCACAATAAATCAGAACCCTTTTGCATGAGAGATTGCTGCATGTTCAAAATAGATGCTCTTTTCTGGACAAACTGTATCAGAAATTGAGAACTCCAACACAAAGTTAGGCGTGGTGTTGATATGAACTGTTGGCTTGATTATGGGCTCAATCCAGTGCAACCCTTTGTGACTGGCTTTTGAATCAGCTACAAATAGACCTGACAAAAAGTAGACCCTATCCCCCTACCCAAAAGAAAGTGGGTTAGGGTCCCCTATCTAGGAACCCGAACTAGAGGATGACCTGACCTGACCCGACCCTAAAAGAAATGGGGTTGGGCCACAGGGCACTGCCAAGCCATGTCTTTTCAAATCAGTATTGACCCAAACGGTTCAACTATTCAATTCATTTGACCCAAACAATCGAATCCATATTTTTAGTAAAAAAACATTGACGTAGCCAAAGACCAGCTGACCCAAAAGGTTGAACTCCTGACCCATCTGACCCATGGGTCAAGTTTAACCTGAATATTTTGGGTTAGGGTCTAGCCTTTGCTGGCTCGACTTGAAGTGCAACCCAACCCAAAATGACCCAAGGTTAGTCTTGACCCAACCCGGACCTGACCCAAGCCAACCTGATTGCCAAGTCTAGCTAAAAGATAATAGGGGACTCATGTAGGGAAGCTATCTTCTTGACCTGTTAAGTAGGGGAAGTTCCTAATTGGGTCAAAGGTGCTAATTGCAATGTGAATGGATATTTTGGCCCGGCCACGTTAGTTTTTTTTTTTTTTTTCCTTTTGTATTGTGAATGAGAAAGAAAAAAAAGGAAATCCGTATTAGTTTAATATAATGATGGTTATATGTCAAGTAACCAATATTATAAGCCTATTTTAAACAAATAGCAATAACAAATTTTACACGTATGTGTTAAAATGATCCTACCTAAACCCTTGATCAGTTCCATCTGCAATTTTACCTTTGATATGCTACTACTCGTTAATCGTCCTCTTAATCTGCAGAAAAGTCAGGCTCATCTGGCTTGAAAAGATTTGGCATCTCTAAGCTAGTGGAAGAAGTGTCAATTAACTTGACCTTGTGATGAACTCCTCTTCTTGTATTTTTAGCGAACCTGGAAGCTAGTATCGTGGCCCCAAGATGCTGAAAGTTGTTTGCATTCTCCGCTGATGAACTTTCTGCACCACCATCCTCATACCCATCCGGGGACCCATCATTGTAGCTGTCGTCTTGGTCTGTAAGTGGCATATAGTAGTAGCTCTCATGTTTTATCAGCTCCTTCGCCAATTTTCTTTTCTTGAACCGCCTCCATGCAGCTTGTATAAAACAAGAACCCCATGTTCTCCATTGGTGGGAGTAATACCTGAAAGCATGTTGAAGCTTCTTGCTGTGAAGACGCTTGAACTGATTGGCCACAAACTTAAGGTCTTCAGCACGGAGTGCAAATGCTTCAACTTCCCCAAGTGCTCGGACCGTGCGAGTTGAGGATGGTAGATTCAGGGTTGAGCTGGGCACTAAAGCCCATGTAAGCAATTCTTCACCGCAGAAGTCACCTGGTCTGAGGGTGATAGAATTGAAAAATCCTGATCTTCCTCCATTGGTCGTGGAGCTCTCTAGCTGTCCTCTGATGATGAAGAGCATTTCATTCACTGGATCGCCCTCACGAACAATATGTGTATCCTTTGTACTTAAGGATGAGACAAGGCGTTCACATATGGCATCCAAGAGCTGATCATCCATTTGTGAGAAGAAAGGAACCTGTTAAATGGAAAAAGGTATTCAACCTGTAAACTTGGATTTAATAATGCAAAAGACATTACAATACAACTACTTTGGATCAATTATTTATTCCAGCATCCATGTTCAATATATTGTGGTCTCTGTGCACTTCAATGAACAAGGCAACTCTAAGCTTGTGCAAAGATATCCTTGGCTAGATAGGTTATATTAGTAACCAATGTTTTAAAAACCAATCTGGAGGCTAAAGCGTTTTTGCCTTCGGGTCACAGGTCACCAGTTCAACTGATCGGGTCAAACGTTTCAGACCAATGCCATAAATATGTTTTAGATATGTTATATGTATTATTTTATATTTAATTTATATTTTTTAATTCAGCTTTTATTTTTTTATTTATAAAAATATTAAAAATTGCAATTTCAGGCTAAAAAGGGTTTTTTTCGCGAAAATAGTGGAGCAAGGAACCTACAGCTCCTTGGATGCATAGATCTCGAAAATTACCAAAAAAAAAATCACCCTAATTGGACATCAGAGTGCAAAGTTATGGCTTCCGAAAGTTTTGCATGCACTCAATGTGAAACCCATGACCCAGTGAACGGATCAACAATCAGACTGGCCAGATCAAATGGATCTTGACCAAATCAACGGTTTTTTACCATCTGACAGGTCTTGACTGAACCACACCCAGAATCCTGACCCAGTGATGGTTCAAACGGTTCAAACGGCCGGGTAACAGCGGATTGAAAACATTGCTAATGACAGCTAAAGAATAGTTACAGTCATCAAGATCTGATTGGCAGAATTAAATTATCAAGTAGATGGAAAAGCTCACTGCTCACATACAAAATATGTTGCATATGTATGTGTACCCACTCCAGAACATTAGTATTAATATATTACTTTGACATTTTTAAGTTAAAAACCATGAAAAGACTTACACGACGAACAAGAGCAAGACACAGATGTCTTTTAATTTCACGACGAAGGTCTAAAGGTAAGGACCGCAAAATAGACTCTTCATCTACTCCTCTTGTGGCAAGCCACTTATACTGAACAAACCGGCGAACACGTTCTTGCAAATCTAGTGGCAGTTGGCGGTGCCTCATCCATTCTTCAGTATCTCTCCGTTTAACTCTCCATTCTTCAAGTCTCACCGTCATAGATGCAAGATAATTCTTCAGGAAAAAAAAAAAAAAACTTTAAAACAATTCTATATGCCAAAGTACCTCAGCTATGGGGCACCATACAGAGCAATAATAGCAAAAAAATTGACATTTATCAGACTAAGTGATTAAGTAACTTTTTTTGCTAAAAGATGATATATCTCTGAAATTTAATGAGAATGACTAATCACTAATACGGTGAAAGTTTGCTAGTGAAGTTTTCTTAAACATAATAGGACCAATGAATGAATAAATTGAACTTAAGTAGTAGAAGCTGCTTCTGGAGGTTTAAGCAATGCAATGGATGCACCTACAAAAAATCTAGAAGGTACTCGTATTGGTGGGTATTACATCATTCATAAGTCAAAATAAGAGATTCAGGGTATGCTCATATCCTATAAGAACCAAAAGTAGAAACAAGGGAAAAGAAAAAAATATGGAGAAAGAAGAGACCATTACAAACTTCTTTGACAAAAAAGGAAGCAGCAAAATTATAAACAACAGTCAATCATGGTTGTAAATTTATCAAGGGCATGAATCACAAGAAGACAACTCAACTAGAAATAGCTATATTACTATTTGAATTTGCCTTTGAATAAAAACAGGGATACAAATATTGAGGTGCCCAATACCCAAAGTTGGGTATAGTGCACATTGATATGACCGATACTCCCCTTTTTTTTTCATTTTTTTACTTTTTTACTTTATAACCATTAGGGGGTTGGAAAAGAGACCTCCAAACTTTTAAATATTTTAAAACACTTTTGTATTGGTGTATCTGTGTGTATTTGGATGCATCAATATGGATACAATACATATATACAAAACCCTTGAATAAAAACCCACAAACATGACAATTTATAAATCAATTTGCCCTGCAAAAGTTCACAATATTACAATGTGAAGGGAATTCTGTTTTAAAAAAATGCTAAGAAAGACTTACCAAATGAAGGCTGTACAATCCAACAGTCCATATGAAAATACATATTCATATTTGTATGTTTACTAAAAAAGGCACATTTGTTTGTGTTTATGACTGTGTATATGTATATGCATACATAATCAGGAAATACACCAGATGTTACCTGCATGTTTCCAATCAGGTGTGAGAAAAGAACTAGTCCCATAATGCATATAAGAATGCAAAGTGATGTCTCACCAACAAAAGTGTTGTTTTCCAAGCTCTGCCCATATGAGCTACATAGCAACAAGGAAAAGATGCATTGGTACAAACACCCACAGAAAATTCCCAAGGAAGAGACTAAGTAAAAAAGAAGAAAGCAATTCACTTTAGGTAATTTTGTTACAGCAAAGTGCAAAGATGTTTAACCAAATGAGTGAATGACAATGGCAAAGAAGGATGCAAAACCAAGTACTGGCAACTAAAATAAGCGAATGCAACATTACTACAGACAGGAAGTACGATATACAAAAAACCACAATGAGAAAAAGTTGGTGCTATACCATCTCATCACCTTATTGTATCCCATACTATTGCCTGTCAGAAGAACATTAAAATCTCAGATTGGAACTAGTTTGTATGGTTAATCGCCGAGAGGAATTAAAGTCCACACATATGCAAGATTTAAGTAATTTTATTCTAGTCAGTTCCAAATTGAATACTGAATACTATAAGGTTAAAGGAGAACTTTTATTTAAAAACAAAGAATAGGAGTTTAATAAAGCTTTTAGTTTTGAAGTGATTGGCATACATCATAGTTCTAGTCCATGTAGAACATGCTAAGGTTACCCATAACATATATATAGAAACATGTATTATTCATTTCATGAAATGAAAGGAAATCTTGTATCCTGCCTTGCTGCCACACAATAAGTGAACAATGTCGAATCAATGGTTTGACTCAGTCAAAATTCAACCATGATGATGGTGCTGGATTGGTGCAATTCATTACATGATCTGTTTATTTCTTGTCTATCAACATTATTCACTTGGATATATCTGTTCAATATGCTGATCCTTTGTTTTTAACTACTATTTCATTATCCTATTGCTGACTCATCTCAACCAACATAATTTTGCCCACTTATCTCAACAAACATAATTGTTCCTACTGTTTGGAAACCCTAAGCACAGATGGAACCAAAAAGTGGGCCTTGTTGAACCTGGTCATCTTCAATCCCCCTTTCAAGTCAAAAAAGTGCATCATATGAAAACATGCAGAAATTTGCACCAAAAAACCATCTCATATGTCATAAGTACAGCATCATATTAAAACATCAATTTATTTGCCTCCTCAATGATAATACCTGTATGAAAAAAGTTATACCATAATCTTGCTGCAAGAAATAAACAGCTATCAACATATAGGTTAAAACCATAAAGAAAATGCTACGTGGTTTGACAAACAAACCACTAACCATAAAAAGAAAAAAGGCATGCAACATGAGTACCAGAGTATTTTAAATTCTGATTGGTAGTGAGAAAGCATTCATTTTATCAGCTGCATTTAGAAATTAAACAGGTTAAACAAAAGAAGTATACCTTAAACTTTTCAAACCCCACCAAAGGCAATAAAGATACTTCTCCATAAACTTTGATGAACCAACATCATTAGAAAGAGCATCTGCAAACATTCCATACTTGAAACGGAGAACACTATCATTGGGATCACAGTTAGTTAGCACACGAGTGGCATTGAACCATGATTTCCGGTCAGAATGATCTAAACTGCTACAATCCAAAAAACCAATATTACAAGATGGAAAAATAGTAGTAGACTCCTTCTCACACTCCATCCTCCAGCAGGAATGCAACTGCTCAATAGACAACAGATACCAGGAAGCTCCTAAAACCTGCATTAAAAGCAAAGTAATAATAAGTAATGGCAATCACTTAAAAAGATCCTAACATGAAACCTTATCTTTCATAGGATGAAACTATAAATAACAAACTGAAATAAAAGGGACATTAAAACCCAAAAACTTCAGTGCTAGATAATGTAAAGTATGGCTAAAATTAATGGTACACGGACACCTTGAAACTAAAGGGACTAACCATGCCAACACCTGGCACTTGGCACGAGGCTTCTTATCTTGATGATGCTTCAAGATGATATAAGCCAAAAACCTTTGCACTTAGCATTTGTAAACAAGAAACCAGAAGGACGCATCCAACAAGGAGTCCACACTTTTGTTTTTCTAGTTTTACTAATTTTTTAATTAACTAAAAACCATTCATCATTGTGTTCTCATAATGCCATGATTCTTGGAAGTTGACATTTCAGAAACCTTAGTTACCTAAATACTTGGCACCTTTTCCAAGTGCCATGTTGCAAGGTAACACTGATTAAAATACAAATTGCTAATTTCACCTTCCTTTTTTCCTTTTCCTTTTTGGGGTTGAAACAGCCCCTTTAAGTTTTTGCATTTATATATAAGAGAAATGAATAGATAAAGGTTTTTGGATACTAATTTAGCATCACATATAGATTATGTGAAACCCTAGACTTCTTATCATCTACTGATATTTCTAGAAAACTAATGCAGGTAAAATTGAGGGAATTAAAACATACATGACTGGCAAGCATATATAAGAGGAGATTGTAAGCAGCTCCTGTCCAAGCAGTTCTTGCAACAACTCCGGTAGTTTTAACAATCCGACGATTCAAGGGGAAAATAAGAAACAACCTAGGAACATACTGTATGAGAACAATCAGAGAAAGTGTATTGTTTGCGTGATCAGCAGTAGAATTTTGCACAGCTGGGATTACAAACCAGATGACAATCTGCAACACATTACAAAAATTTCAATATGGGAAGGAGTAGAGCATGAAATCCAGAAATTGCAATTCAAATTCTCCAGAACTTTCAAAGCACAATAATATAACACCTTCAATAATAGATTATCTGCATTCAAATCCACATGACAATGTTTTGGATTGTAGAACCTACCAAATTGAAACCAAATGTAAAGCCCATTCAGTAAAGCTAGCATCAGGTCCAGAGGCAATTTCAAACTCAACACTGCTAATTTCTATATTCTCCTTAGTTTGTTAAGCCATGGTACCATGTGAGAAGACTAACCAAGTTATAAATCTTCTCTTTTATATTCAATTTTCTATTTGGACCAGGATGTGTCAAGGTTGTCAAGGCATCAATGCAAGAGGAGGAACTAACTCATTGTTGCATAGGTGCTTATGCAACACCTTAAGACACCAACAGATGTCAATTGGTCGGGTTTCGCACAGGTTTGCCTCAACCCTAACCCAACCCTCCAGTGTCCCGACCTTATTCTATAGGGTCTAACCAGATACCGACCCGATCTGACCCGTAGCATTTCAATTGTATTTTTTAACAAGTTTTGAAAACCTAAAATCCATTAATTTAAGTTAAGAATTTGTTTTATAGATTCTAAAGTGTCACTTTTTCCATTAAAAAACAAAAAAGAAAACCAAAAACCAAAATCAACATATAAAGAAATCCTAAACTTTAAGGCCATGGAATTAGAAGTCAAGATGCAGGGGTATCATGACTTGGCGGAGTGGGTCAACCAAAACCCGAACCCAACTTGGGTCAAAGAATCAAAACCCTAACCCAACACTAAAACTGAATATGCCTGACCCTATAGGGTCGGATCAAGCTGGGTTTACCATTTAACCTGACCCATTGACAACCCTAGGCACCAAGCCCAAAAGTACACAAATGGGTTCCATTCTGATTTCCAAGTTTCTAACTAAAATAGCATGCAAAATACAAGAATGAAAAATGAAAAAAAAAAGGAGCAAAAGACTAATAGTCAAACATAACTTATACATGCATAAAAAAGGGAAAATATCCAAGTAAGCTACCTATCATAAATGATTACGAGAAAAAGAAAAATTAGCAAAAGATAAGCAACATGAGACATGATAAGACGAGCACTAAGAAAGAAGGAAAAAGATTTGTCAATTGGGTCAACAAAAGAAGCTTGATACTTTTTCTAACTTAGAAGAGAAGATGAAAGCTTTCTAGATGACCCAACCTATTTCTACCAGGTGGATGAACCATGGTGCCTCATCCCAGCCATCTGTCAAACAAGGGACCTTCTGGGACCACATAATCACTTTCACCATCCACATCAACCTTGTAACCTACCTTCTATTAGAATTTTGTAAAAGTGGTAACTCCACCCAAAATAATTTCTGAAAACAAAGACGCACACAAAGAAAGTTTTATTTTAAACACTTGGAGGGTTTTTCTTTAAGGCTGAAATCTATTCCATGGACAAAAAGTGAAAAGAGGAACAAGGGATGTCTGTTGTGCCCTAAAACAAGTTTCCACAAGAACATACTTGAAAAATATAAATAAATAAAAGAGCAATCAGTGATTTGGAGGAAAATTTTTAGGAAAAAAAAAAGAATCTTTTCCCTTAAAGGGAATGGGGGAGGGGGGAAGATGGGAATACAAGTAGACCATTAATTTTAAAACTCTCACCAACCTATAACCATATTCATACCTTAATATTTCTATGGAATAGGTCCTAAGCGTTAGCTATCTAGAAACTTTGTGTGTGTAGGTGGGTAGGTGCCTTGTGTCTTATGTTCTAATCACCTAGGCAGTGTTGGGCACCTTGTTAGCTAGGCAAGACCTAAGTATTGCTTTTTCATTCACTATCTCCCTAATGTTCAGAAAATTGCAATTGTATCACAAATCGTAGAGAAAGCTAAATCAAATCAAATCGGAAATCATATCATAAATTGTAAGATTATTTCTGTTTTTTACAACCTTGTCAGAAAAAACTAAATATAGATATACTGAGATATAAAAACTAAATAGGGAAAGTAATTTTACCCTATTTTTAAACCATATCTACCATATATGTACCTAAATCAATAAAATTTTATTACTTGTAAAATATAAGCCTAAAGTGATATAATCAAGTTTTAACTTGCAAGTCAAATAGTCCACATACAATTGCTCTATAACTTACATATGATGGAAAATAATCTCAATTATTTTCTAGTAAGGGATTTAAAACAAGTCTCCCTTGACAAAACTAAATATAAATAAAAGTTGACAAAGTAGAGAACTAATTCTCAATTGAATTTATTTGAACCATAGTGAATTGTAGGAATCATAAGATTTATGAATAAGACTTTTGTAAAAAATGGTTCAGACATAAAATTCAAATCGAAACCCATGGATTCATGATTCAAATCATGAGATTTTAACAACATCATACTAAAAATATATTATGCAGCACTTCCATTTAACAGACTTGACAATTATTAAGAATGTCCAAGTTTGCATGTTGTTGATCTGTCAAGCATCAAATCAGGACTGCACCAAATCTCTCCTTCTTCCGAATATGAAAACATTTCTGTTTTGAGGGTATTATAGGCATTCATTTTTTGGTAGTAAACTAATGCCCTGGGCCTATTTTCACTCAACCTTTTTTCAGCAAAAAAAAAAAAAAAACGATGTACCAGATATCACTTGATTTGAGTTAAATTTTAAGTCATCCAGATACTGTCCCATTGACATTAGTTAATAATACAGCCTACCGAAGCACAAAGAATCTATCAATTACTCTCCTAGAATACTCAACTATACATCTTCAGAATTCAGTGTCCACCAACTTCCGTTCTTAACTTCGAAGTTAGTAAAAACATGCAAGTCCCACAGTCCCAAACTGTTTAACTCAAAACTACATTCCCTACCACGAATCTCAGTTCACGTGTATATAAGCAATGTTAATAATATATTTAGCTTTACAAATGAAAAACAGCATTTGTCATATTTACCCAAGTTGAACAACAATAGGTAGTGAAATAAACGTCAACGAAAAAGAAGAATCATTAAATTAACTCAGAAGTTCCAGAAAAGTATGTTAAGCAAGACTGTGTTTCCAAAAAGAAAAAGTCTGAATGCTACTGTTTTTTAAATAAGACTGTAGTTTGTGTATTCAAGAGATATGTTAAAGCAATAGCAATCGTTAAGCTGAAGCAGACAGGTGATGATCGATTTTGGTCCATAAGAATTTTCCAAATTTCCAAAATTGAATAAGAATAAGTTGAGAATACCGTCTGATTTGGGGGAGGGAAACGGAAAACCTCAAAAGAGAAAAGGCCTGGGCGGAAAGTGTGGCTTACCTGAGGAAGTGGTAGAGTTGCTGCGAGATCAATCACGAAATCCTTTTTCAAGTACCGTATTGCAATCTGCCGCTCATCCATGACAAGGTCGCCCCTTCCAAAAACCCTAGAACTTGGTGCCACGAACGCTGTCCGAAACTTCATGATCATATGCACCAAATAGAAAAGATCGGCTACCGTACGGAAGAACGTAACAACTACCCCAAGACCGAAGTCCATCTTCAAGCAGGCTGGGCCTCCAATAGAAGGAAGATAGAAATACAGGGGATCGAGGAAGAGCGCGATCATACAAGAAACGAGGAATACATGATTCCATCGTGTAACAAGCTCGCCACCTGGATCGAGAATTTGATATTGCCATGGCTTCTGTTCGTCGGGGATGGGCGGAGAAGACCGCCGGAAAGGGAGGAACCTCAAAGCGGGAGATGGATCACTAGTATTCATCTTCCATGGCGTAGAGAGCGAGTTTTTGAATCCTGCGAAAACCTTGGAGAGCGAATGACACCATGCAGTAAAGAACAGAAAGAAAACAGAACAACATGGAAAAAGAGCACTGTGGTTGGGGGGCAGAAAGAAAACAGAACAACATGGAAGAAGAGAACTGTGGTTGGGGGGTTCATTCGTTGCGAGATTCGCGGGAAACCAGAGAAGATGCCGACCTGTCGGAGAGTCGCCATATCCATTAGCCACCACCCACCATGCCCTTGCGCCTGCGGGAAGAGCGCGGGAAACTTATAGCCTATACGCATGTCAGGCCCGGTCGTGGGCCGGGTCTGGCCGGGCTTAGTTGCTGATAAATTTTTTATTATTTTAAAATTATTTTAAATATATGATAAATAAAAAATAGAGTAAATTACAGATTACCACCACCCTGTAATTACGAATAGTGGCAATTGCCCCAAAAAATTTTAGATTTTATTAATTTTCCCCTTTCGTTAATATTCCTCAGTTAACTTCAAAAAAGATTATTATTTGACTATGATGTGCGTTAAACATTTCAAAATATCCAAATTACCTTCATAGATCATTTTGCATAAATTTGTTAAAATACATAAAAAGGAAAATAAAGGAATGTATGACAAAGAGAAAATTATAAAAAACAAGATAAAACAAAAAAATGTAAAAATGAAAATACAGCAAAATACAAAACAAAAACAAAAGAAATATAGAAAATAGAACAAAGAAAAGATGAAAACAAAAAAAATAGAAAATATAGAAAAAACTAAAATTGAAAAAAAAAAGAGAGAGAGAATACAAAAAGTATAGAAAATGCATACAATGAATAGAATGAAAATATAAAAAACAAAAAATATAGGAAAATAGAACAAAAGGATAGAAAATGCATAAAGAAAGATACAAGAAAAAACTGAAAAATATAGTTAAACTCAACGAAATGCAGAAAAAAAAAAAAAAAACTTAAGCTAAAAATATTTCAAAGAAATGTTTTTTGGAGAATTTATGCACCAGGCCCTCGTAGAAATATTTATCGTTGAAATTGATGTACGAGAATTGAAATATTCTCATTCCACGAATGGGGAGATATTAAAACTCAATTTCACTCCACTGGCCCACTTATAGAAATTCCATGTCATACATTTTTTCCAAAATAGCTAAAATGCCCATTGAGAAATGCCACCTCACCCCATATTCTGAAATACCCAAAATGTCCATCTCCTTCAAACATCGCTCACTCCCATCTTCGTTTTCACCTCCTTCAAACAACTTGAACACATTTGCCAAAAAATCTACACTGCAGTGTCTTCGATCCTCCTCACTGGCACACTCCGACAGAAGTGGAGATATCTCCCTCTTCCTCTTGTTGATTCACATCTTCGTTTTCACCTCCATTGAATAGCCTGAAAATATAGCGCATTTGATCTAATTCACCAATGCACACCAACAGAAGCGGAGATATATCCCTTCCTTCCTTTGTTGTGTGTTCTTTGTAACTCACACTCCTAAAAGTGTGAGTTGTTGTAACTCGAAATCGAGGTATTTGAAATTTCTTCTGCATAGGGTTTATGTCGAATTCATTTAAAATATCAGTTGGATTCGAATATATATTTTATGTTCGATTTTTGGTGTGGATTGTGCATCTTGGCATCAATGAAATGAATTGATTATTCAACCAAGTGGTTTTCACCCAATGTATATTATTCATCTATGTTTCTTCTATTGAATTCTTGTCTAGGGAAGGTAATCCCGAGTAGGCAAAAATGTCTATAGTAGTTTTAATGACTAATTTAGGTAGCCCTAGGCACATGATTTCTGAAATTTTCATTAACCATGTGACCCTAAGCACATGGAATCTGAAACTTAAGCCAAGTCATACATTGAAGTTAATGGCAGCCAATATCACTAAACTATTTGGAACTTCTATGTGCCTTATACACAATATGATTTTGTCCAACAATAAAAACCATTTTTGTAATTGAATCTATATTCTTTTTATTCCAAGCTATAATAGATGACAATATAGGGATATTTATATGAATTTACATTATTTCACTCTAACCAGTCATAGAGTAAAATGTGTGCATATATCTTGTGTAATGGTATTGGAATTTATTTGTCTCTTGCATGGCAGTGCTTGTTATGTATGCATTAGCATAGTTCGGTTACTATGGTTAATGGTTCTGAAACATGTGGGTATTTTGCGAGAAGTTCATAGTGTGCAAATGTTATGTGGCTTAAGTTATACGGAAGAATGTGACTCGTGCATTTTAAGTCTTTGTTTCAAGTATGCAATTTGCATGATACCGGTCCAAATTGGGTTGTGCATTGAAATATTCTTAATAGTATGTAAATTATAACCAAAAGCATGTTGTTTGTGTTATAGCTATGAGTTCTCAGTCAATAGGAGGTTGCTACCCCAACAATTATTCGTTTGTCCAAAATACTGTGGAATCCCAATAGGATCTTTTACACCTGCCTCGATAATATTGCCATCTAATGTAGCTCATCATTTAGATATTTAAAGCTTCAATATTCATATTGACATTTGTTTTCTTTAAATGTGAATTTGTCAATTCTTAGGCAATCAAACCCAAGTTACATAGAAACACGCATCAATGGTCGTTGCAACTTTTTTTGTTGGGAAATTCCCATTGACTCTATTGATGAAGTTATTTCTCTTATGAACATTGGCAGGAATATTGGCAAACGTGTTCTTGAGCTAGAAAGAGTGGTGTGTGAGTGCCACAAATATATGGGGTCCATGATTGTGAACATCACAATTGAGTTTGGGGTTCATTTCATGGCTGAAATTAGTATGGAGCCGCCACCCATCAATGCAAGGAACATGAGAGTGATGGGCTTCATAAGTTCAAGAAACAAAACAACACTCTCATGTGCCCCAAAGTAAAGTTATTCTATCTATGTACATTTTAGAGAAGAGAGGGAAAGTGTTAGGCACCCCTCTCCCATATTCAACATGTTGTACCATTCCCCTAATTTAGTGAAAAGAAAGAAAAAAAAACTAAAAAGAATTAAGTCTAGAGGAATGCTAGTAATTTTGTGCATCAAATGTCTAAACAATAAACATATAAAATATTACTGCTAAATGTGCACAAAACTGATTAAATCCTCAACACTCATCCTCAAGTTGGAAGTTAATGTCACACATTCCCAACTTGTGTAGATCATGTTCAAGCTTATTCTTTGCAACTCCTTTAATGAGAACAACAGCCAACTGTAATTTTAAAGAGACATAAGGCAAGCAAATTTCTCCGGCTGTCACCCTCTCTCTTATGAAGTGCCTATCAATTTCAATGTGTTTTGTCTTGTCATGCTAAATTGGGTTGTGGGAAATATTGGTTGCAGCTTGGTTGTCATAGTATAACATCACAGAAACACCATGAGCCATGGATATATATTTAGCATCTACACTTGATCTAGCCACAACTACGTGTTTTTTACTCTTCCATGAAATCAACTTTCCACCCACAAAGGTACATACCCCTAATGTAGATCTCCTGTCATCTAAACAATCTGGCCAATTTGCATCTGTATAGGACTCTAGTTTCAACTTTTCATGGCCTGAGAAAAGAATACCTCTGTCGGGGTACTTCTTCAGGTATGCAAGTATTCTTTCAATGGCTTTCCAATGTTGAACCCGAGGTGCATGCATGCACTAACTCACAACAATATAGGATATATATGGACGTGTCATATACAAATATAATAGTTGGCCTACAATTCTCTAATATCTCCCACATCCTTAACCAACTCACCATCCACAGCATTAATTCTATGATTTGGGTCAATAGGAGTATCAGCTAGTTTGGTTCCTAACTTTTCAGTCTCCTATAGTAGGTCCAGTACATACTTCCTCTGAGAGATGAAAATCCCATGTTTGAATCTTGCAACCTTAATCCCCATGAAGTATTTTAACTCACTAAGATTTTTTATCTCAAACTCTTGCTGTAATGATTTCCTGAGAGCATCAATATCCTTTAGATCATTTCCTATAACTATTATATCATCCACATACACAATTGGAATTAACACAAGTGCATATCTTCTTTTCACAAAAAGGGTGTGATCAGACTGGGTTTGTGTGTTCCAAAACAAATAAGTGCCCCTCTGAACCTGTCAAACCATGCCCCAGGTGACTGTTTCAGACCATACAATGATTTTTTAGCTTACAAACCCTTCCTTTACCAACATTTTCATAAAAAACTAGCTAGGATGTCCAAATATACCTACTCCTGCAAATCACCATTAAGGAATGAATTTTTAACATTAATCTGCAATAGGGGCCATGAATTAATGGAGGGAGTTTAGTTTAGTTTGGTTTGAAAAAGAATGAGAAAGATTAGGTTTTCTAGGGCTTTGGATGTTCTCTCAAAAGGATGGATGGGCTGGATCAATTGATCCTAATCCAAAGGGTAGGGGCTTCTTAGATAAGGCTCCTTAAATCACTCATTTTTGTCCCCCATCCCCATTTAATGTCTAGAATGAAGGGGATTTGAAATTTAAATTTCAAAATTTGAAATTAGGAGGCAAAACTAGAGGGGTAGATAGGGTTTTAGAATTTAGGGTTTTTGGGTGCTAAAGTGAGGGTTAGGCCAATCCTAGGGTAGAGAAGCAAAGGGGGTTTAGATCAAGGACCAAGGTTGTATCTAGGGTTGATGGGGGTCCTAGGTAATTTCCAAAAGTGTGAGAGGACTTAAATGAAAATATGTATGGGGTTTTAGAACGAAATTCAAGGCTTTAGGGGGTGTGGTGTGTAGGATTGAAGGGTTGGAATTAAACCTCCAAATTTTAGGGTTCATCTCGACCGATGAGATCGCATGAATAGGAATCCTTGTAGATGGAGGGGTAAAATGGGGAATTTTGCAATGAAATTTTCCAAGGGGGTTCTAAGGTGTCCAAAAAGGGTAATGATGGGGTTTGATGACCTCGAGGGATGTGTCAAAGTGAAAAACCATGATTTATAATATATTAAGCAACGAGGACCACCAATTTAGGATTTTTCTTGATGAAAGGGTAAAATGGTCATTTTGGGTCTAAAAAATGGAGGAGGGTTTACCTGAGTTTCTAGGAAGGTGATGGTATGGCCTAGGTGTATCAGAGGGTGTATCGCAATGCAAATCTTAAAATAGGAAAGTAGTGGGCAATAAAAGCCTTCGATTTGGAATTTCATAGATGAGGGGTAAAATGGTCATTTCAATGTCTGAAGTTTAATGGA